TGAAGGTGGTGGAACACAAGACAAGAAGACAAGAGAAGCCTGAGTCTCTGCCACCATATTTGCCATGAGCAGCATCTATTTAGAATGTTACATAATAGAGAACTTAATTTTATCATACTTAACCTGTGATTACTTTGGGGTTTCTTGGGTAATGAATTCACACCTACTTATAATAGAAAGGTATGAGAACTTAAATTATGGTAAAAATGGAAATGAAAATAGGCACATTTGAGAGATGATATGTAAAATGAATTCATATCTCCAAGCTGAGTGGCCTTACATTCCCTTTAACTCCCTAAAATGGTTTATAGTATTTTCTGTATCTCTTTTCTCTCTTAACCTCCCAAACAGAGCATTCACTTTAATCCTTTGTACTTTACCTTCTAATTTTCTAAGCATATTTCTAAAGCCGGAATTCCTTTCCCTGTTTCTACTCACAATCTTTTTTACCTTTCACTCTACCCTGCCATTACTATTACATTTGTATTCCTATATACTACATTAAGTTTATTATTGACTTCCTACTGGATAAACTGCTTTGCTCCCAGCTTTTGCCTCCTGACCCTGCAATACACATGGGAGAATGTGAAGTGATCACAGCACTCTTTCCAAATGGGCAGTCAGAATCCTTCCCAACAGAATGGTTGGGAGCCAGAAATGACCAATTGCAACTAGCACTCAGATAGAAATCTAGTATAGCCCTGATGCAAAAGATCAAGCTTAACCCCACAGTTTGTATTTTAAAACTCAAAAATAAAATATCTCCTATTACTCCCTCAAAGTGTTATTGCCTCTGAACCTATTAGAATAAAAAAGTGTGAAGGAATTTGAAATGGAACAAAACTCACTGAGTGTCTTCAATGAATAACTAGTGTTAGCCTAGCTCTATGGGATCTCTGTCCCGTCACTGTCCTTGAGTTGTTAGTTATGCTGTGAGTTGTAGGCAACTGACAGCAATATGAATGATTCTAGATCGTGGACAAGCAAATTCAATTCCAATTGATTTCTTTAATTTACTATGGAAGGAGTTAGTTTTCATCTTTAAAAAATCAATTTCAGTTCTCGTTAGCACACATATGTGTGGTTCTTAAAATGATCTGTAAGTCAGTGATAACAACTTGCTCATATTATTAAATCTTATGAATTAGTGAAGAATTCGATAAATTTGTTTCTCATGAATTCATTTTATATTTGCATGAGAGCCATGATTTTATGATTTAACCTTAAAATCATGATTTCATGATTTTACGTTAAAAGTATATATCCTTTTAATAAACTTTTTCCAGACTTCATTCGAACTTTAACTACATCCCCAATTTGAAATGTTTTCTCTGCTCTTTTCTCCCTGATGCTAGCCACCATCATGCCCTCAGCTACAAAACCTAACACTTCCCCTGGTACCTACACCACAGTGGTGTCAATGTATAATTTTTTTCTTCTTAACAGCTCCTGTGAAATGAATAAGGTTTCATTCATGGGCTGAAAGAGTCTTTAATCTTACATCATTGTTTATATGTAACTTCTTAAAGTTACATATAACTTTAAGAAGTTATATGTAGGAATTGAACACAATTCATATATTGTTGTGTCCTCTTCAGTATCCACAGCTGAACCCCAACCACGGCCCAAGTACTGGGGCTCTCAGTTAAGATTTTTATCAGGGACTCATATGGCTTTATCTGAGGAATCACCCTGCTGTTGGTTTTGGCTAAACATGGTTCCTTTCTAGGAAAACTTTCAGTAAACTTTAATGAAGATCATTAGTATATTTAATCTGCTCCTTTTTGTGAAACACCAAACAAAATATAACACTAACTAAAAAGGCTAAGAAACAAATGATAAATTGATGTACTTCTAGGGAATCTTTTCCCTCAACTACTGAATTGCTACTGTGTATGTTAATATTCCTAAGAACAGCCTTAACGTGAGGTGTCATCTATATTCAGTTCTACATTCATTCTTTCGTTCTCCAAATGTTTATTGATTATCCACTAAAAACCTGGAATCTTGATAAGCCCTGAGGGTACAGTTGCAAATAAAATATAATTCCTAACCCCAAAGCCCTGATCTAAAGGAGGATAGCGAAAAGTTGAGAAAAAGAAGGAAAAAATGAACATGTGATTGTAATTGTGACCTAAGAAAAGAGAGTATTGGTGACTAGTCAATCAGTTTCTCATTATGATGAAATAGCCATTCTATTTTCAAATGAACTTTTAAAGTCAATCTACAGTAAAGACTCCTAAAGGAATAATTAAATTTCAAGTTTTTGCAGATTTAAATTACCACAATATGCATCCTGTATTCAATGCAAAACCAAATGCAGACCACCAACACTTTTCTATGGTTTAAGTGGTGAGTTGTGAGAGAATAATAAATGATCTTGAGATTACTTTCAACACACTTGATTTTATGAACTATAAAACACTTTACCAGTTGAACAGTCTTACCAAGTATATTTAATCTGCTCCTTATAATGCCATATGAAGTCAAAGGACTTCATAATATTTGAGCATTAACATTATTACTGAGCATTTCCATTTTTATGGTTTTACTTATTATAATTATTTCAAATTAAAACCATCTTGAGAAAACTGCCTCTGTAAAAATCTTAGCCCATTTAATCAACTTTATTTTTCTCATGGTAACTTTTTATTTTTACCTTTATTCCTACAGGAACCTTAAGAATAAAGCATTTAAGATTCTACTCCATAGTATTTGGCAGTAAAGAGATTATGTAAATAAAAAACTAACAAATACTAATAAAAGTCATAGGCTTTACTGTTCATATAATTTTCAGTTTTTGAGAGGCTACTGGCATATGTTAAAATGATTAAATAAGAAATATTAAGCAATCGTACAATGGTAGTGATAATCTAACATTTGTTCAGCACTAATATTTTCACAATGCTCACAACCTAGTAAACTAAGTTTACTTATCATTTCTACAAATAAAAGGAATCAAGAAACAAGTGATTTGCAAAATGCTATAGAAGAAGCATTTTTTTTTACACTGAGTCTGGGTCCTCAAATTCTAAAATTCTGTTTCTATTCATACTTTTAAAAAGGACATTAACTCACAAGCCAAATTCTGTTGGCCAGAGATTTCCTAAGGGTAAGTAAAATATACGTGGAGGAACACTAAACATTTTATTCACCTACAGTGTCATCACACTGAAACTGAGGTCAGTGTATTTTCCAAATGAGCCAGTGAAATCTCAGGAACAGATTATTTACCCACTAGGCTATGAATACACTGTCAACCAAAACCACTTACTTACACAAGACTAGAATATGCCCTATTTGTATCAGTCCATTCCTCACATGAAATATTTTGTATTAGTCTTACTGTTTAAAGTTTCCTTACTTTTTTCCTATTTGTAAAAATATAAGAGAAAATAAAAATGACTAATCATTTCAAGACATTCTTACTATTTTGTGTTTTCTTAAGGTCCTTTTTAATGAACAAAATATATTTGCATCATATTCACCATATACGTTATTTATATCTCCCTGCCCTCATATAAGGGCATGACAATATTTGCTTTTTGAAAATCATATTTTTTATGGCTGAATAATATTTCATCATAAGGTAGTACCATAACTTATTCTATCCTTCTTCCAATTCACAAGGTTTTTATTACTAAAACATTCATTATAAGCTAATAGAACGATGCTTTATAAAACTTGAAAAACAGAGAAAGGAATGAAATCACATCCTGTAACTCTTGTCTAACAAGTTATCACTATAAATTGTGCTTACTCTTCCATTCTTTTTCTACATGTCGAGAGTTATAAGTTATCATTAAAAAAATACATGCTCTTACCCCTTGAATTTACTTCCATTTAATCCATCTCTCTTGTAACCACCATTACATGTAGGGAGGCAATGACACACTTTACCTCTCCACTACTTTACTTTTTAACAATAAACTGCCATCTCATTTATTTATAGTTAAAAAGATTTTCCCAACAAATACTGAAAGGCTGGCCTTTATATTCCTGTACTTTAAAACACTTATTTCCTAATTTTAGATATATGTCAATAAGATTTTTGAGAAAAAAAAATTGACTAGCTCTTATAATTACTTGGATATTGGCAAAAACTAGTTAAAACTATTAATACTGACTATTCAAACTTCAAAGCATAACTAGCATCTTAATCTGAGCTTCCTATCAAGCAGCCTTTCAGGGACAGGACTAAGTCTCAGTGCCCGTGCCCAGGCCTCACCTCCCTCTCCACTTGGGAGAGAGCCCAAGCCTAAGGCTCTTGGTTTGTCTGCAGTGGTCACACTAGTCTCTGCTCTGGCAAGAAGGGATTCAGTGCCCAGGATTGTGCAGCCCCTGTCTCCAGCTGGGGGCTTCTGGAGGTGCAGGGTAGAGACACCTGGCCCCTGTCAGGTGAGTTCTGCGACCCAGGGAGTCCGGGAACCTTGGGGTTCCAGGGTCTAGTCATCTCTTAGATAACCTACCCCGGAGAAAGACTAACATTCTTTCCTGTTGAATCCTGGGGATGAGCCCCTCCAGTCACCTTCTTTCCTACTCTGGCCAGAGTCTGCACTGTGTTGATTCTTGCTGAGCAGCCTGGCCGGAGAACACTGGCTTGTCAAGGTTCTGGGCCTTAGAGGGGCTAAAGTTCCATCAATCCTTCTATCTGGGGCCAGGCCTGGGCCTTTGCTTTCTGCCCTACTTTTGTATATCAGGTATCGCTCTGAGCCCCTATTTACTGTGAGCCTCGTGGATCTCTTGGTCTTTCTTCTGCCCCCTGCCTAAAGACAGCAATCTGAAGACAGCAGAGAACACTTAAATATGGACATTATTGCTTTTTCTCTATTTCTTACATAATAAAGTATGTGTACACCTACCTTTAAGACATAGTAAGCTTATTTTCCCCTTTGAATCTAGAAATGCTTTCTGGAAATGCTTTCCTTGAAGAGGGATCTGAAATCCACATCAGGACACAGAAGTAATTCTGATAAGAGAAAGAAAATGCCCCAACTTACCGTTTCCAACGCATTTACACGGTCCTGCAAATAAAGCATAATATGCAATTATAAAAACAAAGCTATTCAAAATCATTTCAAGTTTACTTAATTTTCCATTTTTCTCTTTATCCTCTATTAGTAATAATTAAATGAAAAAGAATGAAAATTATTCACAATGGTTTCTATTGTAGAAAAATTAGTATAAGAGAATCACTAGCACTTTTCTTCATATCAAGTCAATCAGTGTTAGGACTACCAGGTTTAATTAAAAAATAAATACTATAAATTTAGACATAAGTACCAATTTGAATACATCTTCCCACTTTCGCACTGGTAAAAATAATCTACTATTTGAGTATCTATAAATCTTAGATATAGATTTTAATGTGAACCAGAACTAGAAAATAGTAATGCTATAAAAAGGAACCCAACACATATATCAGCTTTCGGGTATACAGTACGAAGTATGACCTTATAGGAAGGTAAAACGCAGAAGAACAAGTTCATCAATTAAAATTCATAAGTAATTAAAATAAAGCAGGAAAAATACTGAGAAAGACCCAGTGCATAGTAGAAGGTTGCACAAAAATCTATATTTTAAAGTCTTTGGTTACATTGTTTTAAAGGTTAAATCGTTAATAATAAGATTGTATTTTTTACTCTTTCTCTAGCCAACAGCTACACATAAAGTTTTTAACAAAGAAAAAGGCTGAATTTCAGAGAGTGGAAAGCCTTAATTTTTTTTAAAGTAATGTCATCTTTTTTTTTTAGACGGATCAAAGTCAGTTTTGTTTTTTTTTTTAATTTTCTCTCACTTTAAACAGTTGGAGGAGACTAGTGAAATCTGTATTGAAATTTTTGTTTGTTTCATGAAATGAATCATTTGTTCTAAGACAGAAAGGGGGCAGTGGTGAAGAAAGCCACTCAGCTCAGGTCTCTCAAAGCCCCACATGGGCCCACATGGGCATTTAGGAATAGTAAGAACTAGGCCATTCCCAGCTTCATGCAGAATCAGAAACCTTGACTTTGTGGAGTTCTGAAACCGAACCTCCAACCCTCCATCTGGAAAACTGAGTTGAACAATTGTACCCTTGAAGCATTTGGCTATGTGGGTATGAGTTAAATGAATATATTATGCAAAATCAGCCCAAAGCAGACTGTTTCTAGCAATATAATCTGTTTAATTGCATTTTGTTGACATACTTGAGAGAACCTCACCATCGCCCCCATAATTTTGATGAAATAACTGCTATTTTGCTGGTGACTTGTGTACTGTCACATTTGAGTGCCTCATAATAAATGCATATAAATGCCTCAGGAGGGCTTTGATCTGTTGTTACCAGGCATCTTATTCACAGTGCTTCTTCGGCAAAACCATTCAGCAATGCTTTATCATCCTCTGCAGACTGAACAGAACCTCATTAGAGACAGAAACATACAGAGGCTCCCAGAGGCCTGTGGGCACTGTCACATTTATAGGAACCATCTGGGCAGGCCCAAAATGTTTATGGCCACTATTTAGGTTGTACATTTTCCCCATACTAGGGATTTCTGGGCTAGCATTATTTAAGTTTACTGCCTCTCATGTTATTAGGATTAAAACAGAGGTAACAAACTAATATTGGGGCTCTGTTACAACTTCTGGAGAAAAAAGTCAGTATAGCTCTTAGTATCAATATATTATAACAAAATAAATTGTATTCACTTTAACTTTTCCCACTCTCAACAGAACTGCAGTTGTTGTGTCTTTTTGCTATTGTGAAATCTCCAGTTTTCATCTGAACAGCAACATATTTAAGCTCAACCTGTAGATTCAATATTCTCCTCCTGACCCTCCGAACACACGCACACACACACACACGCATACACTCACTCACATCTAAGTTTGGACCCTGTAGAGAGATTATTGTTGGGACATTGAAAGGGGGTTTAGGAGGTGAGAAGAGAACAGAGGGAAAACAGCCAAAAAATGTAGACAGTCTCATGATAAACATGCTATTTCAGGTGATATAAATAAATCAATGGTTCTCATTTTTATAGTCATGAACTTGAGAATGTGATGAACCTTGGCCTTCTTCTAAGTCCTACAGCCTACACACACATAACTCTACATACACTTATAAGAGAAATACAGAAATCTCTGAAGCCCACCAATGGCTTGCAAGTCTTTATGTTCCAAATATAGACCTGAAGTAACATGAAGGAATATTATACAGATAAGTTACTTTACTAAAACATTTTGGTGTCAGGTCAGAATGGCCAGCAGGCCAGCTGCTGTGGCAGCAAGCCTCTGACAAGATGACATTCGAAAATGGTATTACAGTGCTGCAGGATTCAATCACCTGGGTTAATGCAAGATGGTAACAATATGCGAGGGTGACAGACGATGCTATGAGGATGAAAGTAGCTATAAAAGACTTCCAGAGAATCTTTGTAAGGACAGGATGTTTCATATATGAGAGCAGTAGGCCTGACCAGTAAGCTGCCGATCTTGTCTTAAAAGTAGTAGACACAGGCCCTCCCTGGTGGCGCAGCGGGTTAAAGCACTGCACTAAGAAGCTAAAGCCACTTCCACATGAGTTCAATTCCCGTCTGCCCCGGAGGTGACCACATGGCGCGGCAGACCTCTCCCGACCTGCCTGCTGCTCCCCTCAGCAGTGTACTTTGTCGATCTGCCTGTTCTGCTCCCCACTCTGTCTCTGGTGAAGCCTCTAGCTGCCTCTGAGCCTCTGGCCTGTACCCTAGTTCTGTATGAACAAATAAATAAATCTTTAAAAAAAAAAAAGTAGAGGAGGGTAAATTCTACCTTGAATCATATCTGAAAGAGGTTTATTTGGGAAAGAAAAAAGAAGTAATTGGGTAGTTGAAATGTGTGTCTGTGGCTCTTCTTAAAAGTATTTTTATGAAGTTGATTAAACCTGAAATGTGAAATTAAGAATATATCTGAGCTGCAAATGTATTACTTTCAGTACATATCTACTAAAAAAAAAAACTATTTCTCATGTATGAAATATTTCTAGATAAATAACACTAATAGTAAGGAAAATAATAATGGAAATGAAAGGTTAGACAAAAATCAAAGCAGAAGTTTCTTTCATATATTTTGAAATAAAAAAAGTTTGTTTGCTACTGTGATTGCATAGACCTTTTCTCACTACTTTTAAATTCTATCAAAGGAGGAGAGTGTCTAATAAACACTTAAATGGCAACAATTATTTAAATGTTTACTTTTAAGGATTATGCATGTAGTCACTGAATCACAATAGAGGGTGCCAGCTGTTCAAAGTGACAGGCACTTCATTTATTCTGGGTTTGACAGATCAAGTAGGTACAGTTACATTTTGGGAGAGACTGAAAGCATTTCCACTATAAAAATACATATTTTAACTTTTTTTCTCTTAATTCTGTGGATAGCCAGCATTTTTTTCAAGTGAGATAATACTGGTTTACAACATTGTACATGATTTATAGGTACAGGATCACAACCTTCAAGAGTGTGTTACCACACCATACCTCAGCAATACTCCTGCACAGTAAGGTTACTATATTTTAGCTTATTATGATGAGCTTAATATATATACTTTTGGTTTCAGCTGTATATATTTCTTTGACTTGTGGTCACAATGGGGTGTACATTGGAATTTATGAATGAACTAAACCAAATTCATGCGCATCATTGAAATAGGCAAATATTTGTAGGCTAAATTAGGAAATAAGTGCTAGATTTATTGCTGATATCTGATCCCTGTTCACTGTTCATTTCATGCTGCTGTGCCAATGAATGTGCCACATTCAAGAGACCTAAAAAAAACAGTCCTTCTGCCTCTGGAAGGATAATTGAGCAGGTCTAGTGACTTTATCACAATAATGCAGCATTTCTCAAGAATGTGTTAAAAATAGTCATTAGCATGTGAAAAAAGCACAATTTTGGCATGAAAATATAATAACAGTTTCCCTTCTAAGTCTGAGAAGCTTTAAGAATATAGAAAAATTCTGGAAATTTCTGTGGAATTGGAGCACAAGGGACATAAACTTTTCCAAAGGAAAAACCCAAAAAGAGGACTCCCTTCTACCACTGCTCTAAAACCACACAGCAGATCTTCTGGAAGGAAAAGCCACTTTGCTTCACCCAAAGAGAATACTGCATGACATGTTTGCTGTCAGTGCTAGCTCCCTTTAATTAATATTCATTTTGGAATGGTACTTCCTACATAAGGGATATAAAATAGAATGCAAATTCATCCTCTATACATCTACACACATATACTTACACATCCTCTATATATTTACACTTACTTTCAATCCTTTAACAATTAATAAAGTTAGAATAATTTCAGATGTATTCTTTTCCAAGTTTCAGTGAAATAAAAGGTAAAAGGTTGTTACTGGAAATCATTTAAAAAAATCAGTGTTCCACATAGAGATTTAAAAAAAAAAAATCAGAAACAACCTCAAGTTTGAAAACACACAGCAAGCTTTAAATTCAGCATAAATTGGTTTGAATATACCAAATGACTCTGCAATCTATACATAAAATTGCACACTATTAAAAGTCAGACAAAGTGAGTTTACATTTTTTTCAGTTGGTTTATATTCAAGGAAAACTCTACAGCCAGTGTCTTGGTGGCTTGCCATGGTTTCGCAGTCATCCAGTATTTGATTTATTTGTCATTAGACACCTGGAGGCAATCTTTGTTAACTAATTTCACTGGCTGCTTATGCAATTTTTTTTCAAATCACACATTTCTGAGTCCAAAATAACAAATTAGAAGTACTGAAAAGAAACACCACAGCAAGATATCAACATTTTGACAAAGAAGTTGTCAATAAAAACCCTCAACGTTTTCACTTATCTAGCAAAGACAGTGACAAAGGATGTATCACTTCTTAGGTAAGAAGGAGTAACCCGATGGGGCCTCCCTGATGGCACAAGGGATTAAGTCTCAGCGCTCTGAAGCTATCTGCAGCCACTGCAGCATGAGTTCGAGCCCCAGCAGCTCCTTTCTCGCCCACTACTCGCCTTAGCAGTATATCTGAAGTAG